GAGCTGTTCTCCCAGAAGCTGGCTAGCCACATCCATCCACTTTTGCTCTGACAGCTTGATATACTGTTGCCCCTTTGTTACACATTTTGAATTCAATTTAGCATGCTACTTCCAATTAACCAGCACACACTTATTGCATTATTTGGCATTAAACAGTCACATGTGTTCCTTTAGCTCCTGCCAACGTGAGAAGACAATACCCCTAAGGTGAACAGGGCCATTTGTTCAGCGAGTGTTAGGCTCTGGGAAGTGTCCAAGAAGGCTGATGGATGCCCGCAGGTGTGCGGTTTCAAATGCCTTCAAAGTGCTTCATACCCAAGTCTTCCAGAAATGTTACACTTCATAACCATCCTCTTCTAGAAAGATTTATGCTGCGTTTTGAATATTTCTAATACTCTGGAGCCTGAGTGCCAGGAACCTCTATTTATCAGGCTCGGTCACTGGACAAGTTGCTCTGGTCAGGGATCATATATAAACCGATTCATGTACATGCCATTATTTATTCTACACAAACTACTAAAAGCAGGTGTGATTTCAGTGTGTTTGCTCGGAATGTGAATTACTTTAACAGAACAAAGTTTCACCCACAAGACAAGCCTATTGCTTCAAGCCTATCAATAAGGAGAAAACAAGAACAAGTTTTAATGACTTGTTTATATTAAAAAACCAGCATCATTTCACTATGATACGTGTACAAGAGAAAGTACAGTACAGTTTTGAGATATATCCCACACATTCTTTGGAGAGGGGCTACAAATTCACAAAGACATAACAGTGCTATGCAACTGCTTATTAAAAGCAATAAAAGGAACAGAAAAAAACAATTTATGCTCTACAAGTCTTGAGATTTGGTGTTTACGCTGGAAGTTGCTTTACACAGTGTCAGAATTTAAAGCTTTGACCTCACAAAAGAATTACTGGGCACAGTCATAGATCATACCTGGAGCTGCTGCAGTCAGATACAGGTCAACGTGCAGGAAGAGTCCTTCAAGAACCGGGGACTGAGAAGGTTTCTAGACTAATTATCAAAAAAATTAACAGGATGGGAGGATAGAGGTTTCTTGGTCCGGTAGTTCTCTCAAGGACTCATCAGCTTTTCTTTGCTCTAATAAGAAGCTAAACTCTAACAGAACCGTTATTTGTTGCTCTTAGATCAATAGTATGAAGGCACGATGGCTCCAAAATGTGTCTTTGGCTCTTCTAGGAAGGACATAAAGGTATAATTTCCATGTTTGTCCTGTTGGCAACTCCTGATATGATGATGGTTATTACCTACACAAACAGAAATCTGCAGCTAATCAAAATAATATGGTTGGCAAGAAATCTGGGCAAACTTTAATAGCTATGGTTCTTCAACATGAAAAGGATAAAAGAATAATAATTCTTGGCAGGGGAAGCGGGGAATTTTTTAAATTCTGATTGTTTTCCTATGAGGATAGTGGTATAAACACTGAAGTCTAACTTAAAACACGTTGTTCTGGTTTCACGAATTCGCATTGAGTAAGACTCTGCTGGACCCACTGAGTTACACTCAGCTCATTTCCACTCTTCTCAACCTGAAGCTATCTGCGATACACAACAAGGTAAGAGAGTGGGATTTGGCACAGAAACTGCATGGTTGAAATAATTCAAAGGTCTTTCAGAAAAGGTATCTGTGCATACAAGTGTGTTACAGTGGTATACACAGAGCTCTCTTTTCAAGAAAGGGTAATTAGCTTCAGCCTTCTGGGAAATGGAGAGCCAAGAAAGGCATTTACCGAGTGGAAGATGGACATAAATTTAAATACAAAAATTGTTTTCACTGAAGTTTTCACTTTCATTTTCAACAAGCTCTAGTGTTATGTTCAGGACAGTATCAGCCTGACAGTTTTTCACTGGAATCTGATGAAGCAAATAAGCAGAGTTATATTATTTTAGTAGTAATAATTTAGTAACTTTTCCATTAAAAAGTACATGCTGTCTAATAAAGACTATTTTGTAGGCACAGAAATAGGTACATTTGATAATCTGCAGTAAGGAGCAGTATCAAAACATATTAATGACAGCACAAGCAAGTAAACTTCCTTAACAGCTAATGCTGTAAAGTTTTGGCTCTTCTACAAAATGACATCCTGTAAACATTTTCTTTGCCTTGTGAAAAAAGTAAAAAACCTTCACAAATCAAGAACTGAAAAAAGACATTCAAAACTACCCCATCAAAAGTAATTTTTAAATATCTCCGAAATAATTAATTTCATTTATTTTACCTTTATATGACTGTACTTTCTTTTGGAACAAAAGGTCATATTGAGCACTGAGGTGAATTTCTTTCCTCAAAGCAGAAAAAAAAAAAAAAACCTAAGCAGTATTTTGAAGGAGGAACTAAGAAAGGCTATTGCATGTGAACGGTTTTGTATGAATTGGCATTTTCCAATTTAGCAAAAAAAGTTTGCTGAAATATTTCCCAGGCAGATCTATCTGGGCCTCTAATTCATTGGCACAGGCTCAGTATCAGTCATGTAAAATAGGTGTTTCATCATGTACCTAAAATTGTGACATTCTTCAAAAATACTCAGTACAAAAATCTTTTATTTCCTTTACACTACGTATTTACAATTCTAATATCAAGGTACCGTGGACAACATAAACAAGTATACACAGAATATGGCTTGAGAAAGGTTTCCCCTTTGATCAGCTGCTCTAATCACACATCAGTATACACAAATAAGAAAAAACCAGTATATTTTATAAACTGCTGTCAAACAGCAAGATGTAAGTTCTTGGGTTTTAGGCATGAGCTGCTGCGTAACCACACCAGACAATGGGACATCTTCCCCTAAACTCAAATGTCCAATGTACTGGAACGGGGCCTGTGGAGGGCCCCTAAGGTAACTGAAGCTGACACCGTTGGGTCTGATGGACCAGGGTTGGCTCTGTCTTCAGAAGAGAAGACCAAAGAGAGGTATTATTGCTGTCTCCAACTACACCATGGGGGCTGTAGACAAGATGAAGCCAAACCCTTCTCAGAGATGCATACTGAAAGAATGAGAAGCAGCGGACAGGAGCTGAAACTTCAGAAATTCTGATCAGAAACTAGAGAAAAAACCATGAGCATGAAATTCTCATTGGGATGGGGGCTTAAAGAGGTTATGGGATCTCTGTCTTTGGAGATATTCAGAACTCAACTGGATAAATCTTCAAGCAACCCCATTTAACTTTGAAGTCGACCTGGCTTTGAGGAGGAGCCTGGACTTCCAGAGGTCTCTTACAACTTAACTTATTGTATGATTCTATGAAATATCTTGAATATGATGCAATGCTTGCATTACCATTGTAGTTCAGCTCTGAGGCAAATACAGAGTTAAGATCAAAAAGATATCAGTTGCTTGACTTGGGTCATTCCTCTCCAGCAGTTGCTAAGATTACATCTAATTGTCTCGCACAACATTTACCTTATCAGTTCCAGTTCAATGAAATGGCCCCAAATTCACATAATTGTAGGATCAGACCCAGGCCAGCACATCTCCAAAAGAACATTTAAAATGTCACAGCTGACAGTAAAACACCGCTGAGACCCACATACTTCTAGTTTTGGGACAACAACAATTTTGTTGCATTTACGTTGAGTAAACTTTCTAGCCAGCTTTGTGGAGCTGTAAGGAAGAAGTGACAAAGGATCAGCATCAGCCTCTGTGATCTTCTGACTGAAAGCACAGTCGGTTAATTCATTTTGACACATTCACAAATTCCTTTACTATGTTTAGGATGTCTTTCAATACCTATGAAGTGATGAATAACAAGACAACTTCCATGAATTGTTGCATATCGTTTGTTTCGTACTGGGGACAGTTAATGACTGCAGATGTTTTTAAGACCTGAGGTGAACCCTGGGATAAAGCTGTTCCTTCACCTACTCATTATCCAACTGCAATAACAAACAACATTTTTAAAAATCATAAGTTAGCATCAAGTATTGTCACTTTGTCTTTTCTAAGACAAAAATCTTCTCTTGCAGAGTTGCAATTTGTTATGGTGTGTGAATGGTAGTGTGAACACAAGACCTGGAACAGCATGTACTAACATGTTTGCTGAGCCCATGGTCCTGACACCCTTTAATAAGTGCACTTTTAGTCTAGTCAAACTCAAGAGGATACTACATAGGTTTAGTAACTCCTAACCTAAAGAGAGGTATAAAACAGGCACTCTGAAATCCTTTATTCTGGTTAACTCAGTATTAAAATAGAGAACATTATTTCTTTATAATGACTTAGTCCTACATTAAAGAACAACCTGTCTTAACAGACAAAATAGCACCAAAATGTCTTTGTTCCATTAAGCGACCAACGGCAGCTGTTGAATGGTATCAGGACTTTTAAAAGCTTAATCAAACTATTGTGCAGTAAAAGCACATTATAAACTTTTACATAAAGAACACAGAGATTATCTGTAGACATCTATCCTTGCTTACTATCTGCTTTCTCCATCCAAGATAAAACTGTCTTCTGCATTAGAAAGTACTGTTTCGTGAGAACTGCTGCACAGTGTGTCTTGACAAACCACCGAGAAACCCAACTGACAAGATGGGAGAATGCAAAAGCGAGAAGAGCCTGACAGATGGCATCCTGCTCTTTGGAAGATGGACTCAGATGTAAGCAAGACATAGATGGAGACCTTGCAGTCAGTCAATCCATGCTAGAAATGTTGTACGTACTCTAAAATTAATTAACGACTTATAAAGGACTGCGGTGGATTCTCCTTCAGTTGCAAGTTTAAAATGAGATTGGACACTTTTCTAGAACACACAATGTTATTCAAAGAAGAATTAATTTGGTGAATCCCACTAGTTTCTGTGCAATGTGATTTTGCAGTGGATCCATATTGGCTTCATAATCTGTGAAACGCTCAAACTTCATGCTGGTTGTCAAGCAGGTTTAGAAAGTCACTTATCCGTGGTGTGGCTCACTGCAAGTTGATATGTTACATACTGCTTATCCTGATACACTTTGGAGCTGGCCTTACTAAAAACATGTCCAAGCTTCCAAACAATGAATTTATATTATGTATCAGAAAGAATGTCCAAAGCACATTAATGGAGGCTAGGAATAAATACCATAAAGCAGATTCAACTTTTAAAAAGGATCCAGCTACTAAATGGCCTCTGTAGTCTTCCATAAGAAGTGTGAATATTTCAGTACAATTCAAGCTGAATTGAATAACTGTTTTCATATCCAAATTCAAATACCTTCTGTGCATATAAAACAGTTCATTTATTAGTCCAAATGTTACTGTTGTAGAGCTCTTGGAAAAATATTCCCTCTTTCTTGAGTTTGTTCTTCATAAAAAGGAAGCTTTGGAGGGCCACCTAGAGAATTAAGCAGAAACACTGTTTCAGGTTTATAAAACATAATACTGAAATATTACATAGATTATACAATTTACACTTAAATAACTCAATAAATGGTATTCTTCAAAAGAAGTAGAGGACTGAGTTACACTGGCCTCCTCACATAGATAGAGAGCAGGCAAAACAATAAGACATCTCTCAAATGGAAGGTTCACAAAGTGTTTCCTAAACTAAATGCAGAATTGTATGGTATCACTATCAAGCCAGTTGTGATAAGATTACAAATGGGAAGAACCTTTCACACACAGTACTATATCTTTTTAAGAAGAAAATGTATATAAATTTAAAAAACCCTCCAAAACTCTTTTGTGATAGTGCAATAAATTATTTAGCAGCTTCACAGATCAATCCAAGACTACTTTCCAATGGTTTATCTACTTATCTGGCTCATCACATCTTGCCATGCTCTTCAAAACCTGACACCTCTACAAAAAGTAAGTAATGTGATGGTGTGCACAGCAAGTAACCCTCCTTATTCACCTTCGAGAGGCTGTGGATATCAACTATTTCTGGGCAAGATTTCACACTGGCAGGCTCAGAAGAGCATACAGCTCTCCAGCACAGCTGTGCTGGAGGCAGCCCCGGGAATCCTTGAGCAGGCTGTGCAAGATCTCAGCCTGCTCTGAGGGGAAACCACTGCACTGAGTCAGTTCAGCTTGGCCAAGACCTCACAGCCACCTGGAATGACTCCTGACATTTTCAGTGCCCCCTGGCATTTGCAACATCAGGATCTTGGACCCTTAGGAGGGCAGCACACACCAACACAACCCTTCCAGGCAAAGCTGTTGCTACAGCAGGCTCTGAGCTTTTCCATCAGAGATGGAAATGCCGAGTGGCTTCTGCCTCACAAAGCCCGACACCGAAGAAACTGGTGCCTGCTGCTGAGCACCACGTTGGTGTGGTGGGTTGATACGCCCGTCCAAATGGACTTCCGATCACCGTTACGGTCAATGCATGATTTCTTCTCCTAAGAAAGCCTGCACATCTCCAGCTTGTGTTACCTTCTTTGCAGGTTGGCCCCATCCACGTGGCTGGGCATATGCAGTTACCATTGTACGGATTGCACTGGGATTTGCTGGCACACTGGCATTGCAGGGAGCAGTCAGGGCCGTACCGGTCTGACCTGCAATCTGGAAAGAGAGATGTGTTTAGAAGAGGGTGAGTGCTCCCTGGTAGTCTCCCTGTTCTCTGGGATCAGGAAGCTGCTTAGACACCTACATCTGTTAACATTAAACCACGACATTTTGGAAAGCTTTGCAGTCCTCCAGTTTCATCTACCGCATGATCTGCCCAATCTGTAGCCCAGGTGTCCTAAAGAAGTTCCCAGAAGGGAAATCATTCCTGGTGTGAAAACAGGGGTTGACAGCCCAACAGAAAAGATCTTAGGATCTGCTCAGGAAAGTTACTCAGCATCCTGGATCAACATTATCTCCTGCAGCTCTCCACCACATGTCTTGGCTGTCTGTGTGTGCCAACAAAGAGCCTGCCCTCAAAGAATGTGAAATTCAGAATTAAACCATTTTATTTATACTCTTATGTCTTACTCCAATTGCACAATTCTGCTGCCTCCTGGCAAATTAAACTCACAAAACATCTCACTCCCAAATACGAATACATTTCATACCTAGGCTGATAAATTCTCCTTGCAATTTTTTCATGCAGTCAGAGTACAGGCAGGAAGGAAAAGTTAGCAGCAGGTCACAAGGCAGGGTGCTGAATACACCGTAAACAACAGCCCTCTCTCCCTCACCTCGCTAGAAAATACCGTGAATAACCAAGGCTCACGCTTTCTCACACAGGCACCATTAAGTAAATAAAGGTGCTGCTGAGCCCCGCATCAGCTGCAGCCCCAGCACGTGGGAGAACTCTTCCCATGCGCCCAGAGCTTGGCCTTTTCAATTAGGAAATGTTATGAGAAAAGGTCTCCTCGAACACCTCTGGACCTGACTTTAATTTATGTAATACTACATTTTCATGTTAATAACAATGTGTATTTAAGACATCTGTTTGAAAGTCTGCAATGTTAATTTACTACAGAAAAAGAGCGCCCATAAAAGTCTGTTATATTCTCTCTATTTTTTTTTTTTAATTAACATTTTGCCAGTTTAATGGGTGCTTTACCAGAGCTCAAATTAAAATCAGGCCTTTTATCTTTATGGCTGCTGCACAGTCACAGCTGCTCACAGTTATATCACAGATGAACTGAGCCTAATTGAAAATAAAAATGCAAATAAAACCTACCCCATAACAGCTTTTCATGGACTGGGCTACCCTAGCTGATTTAAGAAAAATAAAAATGAGTCCTAGAGTTTGCAAGAAGCAAAACCTTGGTTCACATTTTTGGTGCCGAGCTTCCCCCTTGCGTTCCACTTCTGCCGAAAATTTTGCTGGGAAGAACTCTGGACACCTAGTGCCAAGCTGGTTGTGGGGGTGGCTGGTGACCCCTGTTGGACCAGCATCTGCAGACTGGGTGGCTTTGACTTCTGACCACAGGACAGTGCGGAGAGGGAAGCAAATAATTTTTGTTTTGCAGGTTGCACTAGCACTCAAGCTCCCAGCAATTACATTGCATTAACAACAAGCTGTTTAAAGCCATTTCCTGCCCTATCCTAAGAACAAAAAGAGAAATAATATTCCCCCACTGTGATTCGGGGTCAGGATCATGGTTCCTGGTGTGAACCTCCAATATCAGCACATGGGCATTCACTCTTTTTATCTTCTTTGCCACAACAACATAGGGATTGCAAATCTATTCCTACACTTGTTTAAACACGTGCAATTCCTTTTACCCTAAATTTACACCAGCATAACCAGGATCAGATCAAGAACCTGGCCTGCCATTGCTGCCTCTCAACCCTGCAA